TCCGCCACCCTTTCCCTCTCCCCAGGATACTGCCGGCTATCAATCGCCGTTGACAGTGGCTTGAATGTGATTCACATTGCCAGCACCATGACAAACAAGGCTGAATTTTAGTATTTGAAGGCGAACGGTACTGTGAGTTGCATATCAGTGTTTACTTACGCGCTAGACTTCGTGGCCTAGCCTTAAATGACTGAGCCCCAAGTAGATAGCATGCAGTCCGCTCCAAAGCAATCTTGAAGGGCGTTTAGCGGAGGAAAATCCAAGAGCTGCTTTTGCACGGTTTTGTTTCTTGACTAAAATTGTAACGTTACAGTTAAACGTTATTAAGGAGAAACAAGACAAGACTCAAAGATTCAAGATAATTATAGAGTTGGGTCTTGTCAGTTCAACTCAATAACGTTTAACTGTAACGTTGCAATTTTATATTCTCCAAACTTTAAACTCGCTGAGTTTTTCTGAAGGTAATCAATCCATACAGTTCATTATCAGTCAGTCTATTTGATTCCGAAGCGTTATGCTTGGCTTCTCTCACTCTCCTTTATTAGTCACGATCACCCTTCCCACATGAACTTCGTTCAAGTCAAGTTACACCTACGTGCCCAGTCTGGTCCCGCTTTTGAGGAATTCAGTTTGAGAAATCAACCGCCAGGCTTACCTTTCAACAGAAAATAATAACGTGCGAGTTCCCACAGAAAAAAATGGCTGGGAGCAAACCCTGCCGGGGAAAGTATTCGGCGGTGAACGAAAGCGTAAACTCCCGTTCTTGTGATAACCTCCACGGCATCCCCATTTGTTTCTACTTTTCTTGAAACAAATCCACTTGTTTTTGTATTATTTTAGTTATGTAGAGGCAGTGGCGCCCAGGCATAAAACTTACTCGCTCTGCTTGCTTTGCGCTCCTTCTGTTTTGCCTTGAACATATAATGAGTAGACAAGAGAAACTTTATGCGTAATTTACACAGATTCTCTCTCTTAGAGCAGGGCCCAGATGAAAATTACTTGTGTAATTCTGGTTTCACCCTGGCTAAATTAAGTCTTGTTGTTGTTATTGACTGAGAGGCTCGAAGAGCGAAATATATCTCAATACTTTCAGGTTTTAATTTTACAGTTTTTACCAGGGCGTAAGAAGCTAGGGTGTTGAAACACTCTGGTTCAGCTGTGATGCGGAGTAGGACTGGGACTAGTTCGCCTTTCCGCTCTCGATCCGCTGTCAGGGCAAGACAAATGGCGCCGTCTAGCTGGAGGTAGGTTTGTATTTATTGCTTTATATCTTTAGATTGCTGCACTCTATAATTAGATTTGATATTTGGCGTATTTCTATGCGATATACGGAAGATATTTAGGTGATATTTTATAGTTATTCTTATAAGTTAAGGTGTTTTTTCGCCTTCTATGTTTATGTAGTGTCAAAATGGCCTATCGAACATTACGGGTTGCACCTCGCGTTTTATCTTGCCAGTCAAAACCAAATGATAATAGAAGGCTACAAAAAAAAAATATGTAATAGTTTTATAAATTTTGTTTGTGGATGCAAGTTTTTAGAGTAGGTCGAACCTTTGAGGTTTTTTTACTTCTGAAGTGACGACTTCATAATGGCGATAGCAAGGTTTTTGTTTTGTACGTTGGCGTTTAGCTTGTTAGCAAAATAAAAGATTTCAGTTGCCCAATTTATGGATTTTTCTTTTTTTAATATACACTAAGATGGTAAATAATATTTTATAGTTACAGAACCGCGATCCAAAAAGGTTCTGACCACTTTTAAAGTTCTACTAGAAAATTGCATTCGAATGATCTCGTGTGACAGTCTTTACATAAACAACAACAAATTCTCCTTCACTGCGGTATAAATCTGAAGGTTGCAATCCCTTCAAAAATGCCACTTTAAAATTAAATCATAGAATGTGTTTATTTGTTATTATAATGATTTTGTGCTGGGCAACAGTGGGTGCCCGGCCTGAAAAGACTACTAGAACACACACTGAAAGATAAACGAGTTCATAATACCGTGAATATGAAGAAGAACATAAAGAAGTCTTAATTTGATTCAAGTAGAATGAATCAAGACTGCTGTGTAACATTGTATTTTTGTCGTCAGAGGCTTAAGTGTGGTGTTGCACTATCTACAGTCAGCTCTCAGATGGAAACTATTGGGACTGGCACAAAATGTCAGTATTAATGGACAGGTGTAACTCTTAGGGAGTCGAGCTTTTTATTTTGTCAGAACTGACCGGCCAGCCCATTCGCATCGTAATGAGAATTTCATTTTTAATCAAAACTAACCATCCAGATCTGTCAAATTTTAAATATTATGCACAAAGGGTATGGTTTTTCAACAAAACCTCTTGGAAAAAGCCTATTTCATTGCCGAAATGTCTGGTCTGACCATGGTCCGGCCGTCCAGTTCTGACTTTTGGAAAGCGCCCTTATAGAGACTAAAAGAAAATGACTGAAGAATAGTACTCGATTTCCTGGAGGTGCCTTATCTTTTGATTGTACTACTGTATAATATTTCTAGCATTATATCCTCTCTCTTAATATTATATATCGTAGACAAGGAAACAGGAAAGTATTTTATGAATCAAGTTTGATTAAGCCTGGCTGCAGTTAATAAATTTAACCAAGAATGAAATTGAATCATACTGGACATGAAGGTTAGTATACAAGTGTGCTAGGGTTGCTGGTCACACTAAAAGTTTGTTTTTCAATGGTTTAATAGCTGTTACAGGCCATTTGTATTTCATTCGTGCATAATTCTGTAAAATTTTGTTGTTTGCAATATACTTTTGAATTTGTATGTTATATAAATGTTTTATGTTGTATCTGTAACATAAATATATATAGCAATGTCTGGTTTCAATGTAAGACTTGTTAATGTTTAGTTTCTTTCAAGTTCCTTAGTATATCTTGCATGGGTCGTTTTCAGTGACCATTTCATTACAAAAAGCTGTTATTATCAAACAAAAATATTTGCTGGGCTACTTATTTGTGTTCTTGCGACCTCTTTGTTAGTTTTTCAAGGGCAGTGAATTATATTTTTTCACATACTTATTCTTCATTGCAAAGTAGTATTAGTGTACAAGATAAAAATAATGATGATTTTATTATGCTTTAAATTTACCCGGACTTAAGTTTTCACAATCTGTCCAACTGTAATGTCAATATTGGAGATAACTCAATAAGGTGTTTAGAGAAGAATACTGATGTACACCAACAAATCCAAACTTTAATAGTGAAAACAGATCATCTGGCCTCGAAACTGGGTAGCAAAATGAATTACACAATTTGATATTAAACTGAAGTAGAGAACGGATAATATTAGTCTAAAATGATGTCAGTGCTATCATCTGAGTTGTGATGCCATTTTTTTACCAAGTCACGAAATTTTAATACAGGTCACGGAGGTGGAACTATATTCAATACAGATATTTGTTCGCGGGGGAAAAATTGAACAAAACAGAAAACGAACGTGAGAAAAAAATAATTTGATCCATCGCTATTGCTCGCTGTAAATGAATGCCACGGGATAATGGCTAACGTTCGCTAGACAATCTCTCTGACGGTCCAGTATAATGTCCGCCATCTTGTTTTGTCTTTTTGGTAGTACCCAGACCCTTGCATCACAGCTAGTTCGCTCGACCCCGCTCGTTTTAACGCCCTAGCTTCTTACGCCCTGGTTTTTACATTTCCTAGATTTTTAAAGCGTTGAATGTGTGAAAAGAAGTGATGTCTTCTTCTAGTTCAGCATTGTTCAGAGACATTGTCATTCTCCTTCTCAAATGTAAAATATATACACAAAAGTAGTCTCTTTGCCAAAAATTCAGTTTTGAAAAATACCCAACTGCCTTCAAAACGCTCGAGCTGTACTCTCAGAAAACCAAATTTTCCCCCTCCCTAGAGACTAACGCTTCCAGCTCTCACTGGTCCGTCTTCTCGTTGAATCGCACCTCCTCGTGAAAATACCTGGCTACGGGCCTGTTGTTGAGGCTATGTAGAGTATAAGACTTCTTTCATGTAGGCAAGCATTCTGACTTGACTTAGAATAGTCTAACTGGGTGATTTTAGGCGAAGAAAACTGACATTCGAAGAACATTAAGCGTAATTTATACAGCCTATTTTCTTATTCACTAAAAGCCGAAGAGCTATGGAGAGGTCTGGATTTTTCATTGTTATTTAAACTAACGCTGCCGCTTTGCGGTGTCTTTTTATCAAACACTGCTTTTTCTTACTCAAGATAAACAATTTCATTACCATGCATCATTTTTCGCGAACTAATTTAAAAATTCTTAACGGTTTTAATGCGTGCATGCTTTACTTTACTTTACTGTGTAAAAGGGATCTTATCTCGCGATAAATATTACATTAACATGTAATCTTCAATTGATGTTGGTAAAAGGAATAGAATGGCATTACGGCAAAAGGCCAATCTAACACCGATCGCGACAGCATCAGTGATTACCATGACGTAGGATAACAATTATTGTTTTCTTATTTGTTCAAATAACCTGAACTGCGCCATCTGCAAAATTTAAACAACTAAGATTAGAAAATTCTAACTTTCATGTTGAATTTAGTACACTAAAGTTAATGATTTTCGATCTTACTCGACTACACAGCATGAACTAATAAATGGTCCGGTTTTTTATTTTTTATTTTTTTTTTTTCGAAAAAAGAAGCCCTCGAACTCTTCGACTGAGTCTGCCGGATGAACGCTTGCTAGAATTAAATACACCTACTAATCAAGAGCTTCTGTCATTTAAATTGCATATAATGAAAGACCGATCGAGCGAGTGACGTAAAACATTGAAAATCCATTCTAACGCAGCAAACAGGACATTAAGAACCGAATCAATCACGTGACCTTTATATCAATAGCCAATGACATGTTACTTTGTTACACGGCAGGTGAATTAATTTAAACATGTCATTGAAATCTGTAAACAGACCTTTTCTTGACGTGTAAACAGCAGGAAAGGACAAAATGAATCGGTGTTGAGTTCAAAATGATGCGGGGACGAGTTGCGTCAACAAGAAGAAGACGGGCACATAGCACGACTTGCGCACCACAAAAGCTTGCTACGAAGGTCGACAATACAGAGAAACAACATCGACAGCATAAAAAATCCGTTCAGTGGTCATCGGATATTCCAAATGAGTTTTCCAAATCTCCTTTAAGAAAATGTAACTCCGACAGCTTGTTCGAATGTGACAAAGCGCTAAAGAAGCTGAACAAGGTTTCAAGTTTATTGGAGAGATCAGCAACGCTAGAGAAGGATTTTGAAGAAAATCTACATAGCATTCAACAGAAGCTTAAGACTGAACTTAACTTGAAAAGCGAGAATGGACGTTAAACAGTACGCTCTCGCTCTCAGACAACCATCGCCGTTACTGCATGTGCTTTCAAGCATCTTCAAGTTATTGTCGCTGAAATGTTTTATTTTGTAAGGTGAAGTTGTTCAAGAATTGAAAAAGAAAGTAAAAATTGAATATGAAACTGAAGCCAATCAACTAATGAGAGCTTTTAGTTGTCAAGACAAGATTGATTTATTTATGAGACGAAAAAAAAAACCAACAAGTTGCCTTCTTTATGTAATTATTCAGCATAATGTTAATTACATCTAAAAGACTAAAATGTTGACTTCCTCCTTTTGTTAATACCGAAATTTAACTGGAAATCTTGCTGCGCCAAAATCGAGTTTCATTTTAAATTGCCTTAAAAAATTTGCATTTCTTTATAATGACATGACAGCTTTCAAAATGAGATGTAGCCGAAGTTAAGCCAATTCGTACCTCTAGACTTGTGAGAGTATTAAACCATTAAGAAAATCTTTTTGTTTTGTCTTATTTTACACTAACGATACCGAAAACAACCGCACTATTCTGAAACTGTTTCAGTATCTCGTTAAATTGAATCATCCTGTCTTACCTGATTCAGTATATTTTTTGCGTCGGTCTTGGAAGGACCGTCGGAAATTTAATATTCCGCCCCACAAGCTGCCCGTTCAACATATCGTTGACTTTAACTGAGAAAAAGAAGGGAATGGGAGAGGTAGAATATTGGATGTTATTGAGGTTTATTTCAAGCAAAAATGATTGCGAACATGACAAAGTCTAGAACTGAAAAGTATGAGGCACTTAACAGTTTCTTTATCACCCGATAGAACTCAGTACCGCCGTATTTTAGTTCGTACACAGGTAATCGTAGAATTAATTTAATACGGTGGTAGCTAGTTCATAGACGAAAGATAACGGTTGTAACATGGCATTTTACATTGAACAAGACCGAGACAGGAAAACAGTTATAAGGAAGGTATAAGCTTTTGGGTCCCAAGTGTTTCAAACCCCCTGCATTAAGCCAACATCAATTTTCTCCTAACAATATTAAAACATAATCAAAGAAAAAGGTTATAAGAATGAACAAAATGATCACCTACGGGAAAATGTTTTGATCTTGAAACAATTTCTCTCGACTTATTTTGCAAAGAAATGTATGGAGAGCAGTCTTGAGGGTTAGTAGGTAGAGCTCCTTTCTGGCGAGCTGTTTCTGGGAACTGATCGTCCCAAAGGCTCTACAGATCAGCTTCTGTATCGTCATGTTGACTATAATTTTCATTATTTTTAATACGATTACTTATCCCTGCATCGAATAGCGTTTCTTTGCTAATTTGCAGGGCAACTGTATTTAGGTTTAATATGTGTGAATAAAAGTCTTGTTTGTTGTTTGTCACATCCATACTAACATTCTACCATAGTTTCGAGCGTTCACACAAAGCCACCGAAAACTAATATCTGGTGATACCTTTTTAACTGCTCAGTACCCTTGCTCCAATATTAAGCGCTGTCGATGCTATCGTCTATTTCCGCCATTTAAAGGCATGTAAAAATGAGTTGCAAGACTCGCTATGATATCAGCGTTTTCGAAAACCATTTTTCTTACCTGTCCACACTAATTCGATGGACCTTCGTTTTTCGTTACTTACACTATAACTGTGGACGCGAGGTCAAAACTTCACGACTGTAAGTGCTCTAAACAATAAGGGTCAGTGCGAACGGAGGAGTTTGCCAATCTGATACACATGGGGAGCGGGGAGAGGGGTCTTCAGATGAACAAATGTTAAGTCAGCCTCCAGCCAAGAGGGGAATGCTTAATTACCATGTTCCTCTTAGAAACCTAAAATTAAGACGTACGAAGTAAGTATAAACATAGGCAACGACAAAGAGTTGTTAAGTACCGCTCAGATAATCAGTTCCTTTTAGATTACTGCGTTGTGACGGATAAACCAACCTTAAGAGATAACGGCAACTTTCTAAAGGGAGTCAATCTTGGTTTTATAACTAGCAAGTGTCGTGTTTTTAATCTTAAACAACATCCTTAAAAACTGGCACAGCTGTTTTACTTGTTCAGAATTGATGTGTAACGTTTATACTTAGTCAATCGAATCCCCATTTCTTCAATTAAAGCCCAGAATATTCAAGACACGAAATGAATATGTAATGAGTAGTAAAAGGTGGACGGCGAAATAATTAGTTCATCTTTTCCAGCGAAAATAACCTCGGTCATAGCAAAGAAGTCTTTAAGTGGTTTCGAGAGGAATTAGAAGTGCAATGATTGTTCTTGATTGTTGTTGTTTTTTCTGAAGTCTTGTTCATCGGTTATGTTAAAGTGAAGCGTAAAAGAGTGAAATTAAATAGAATTATAACCAAAATGGTTTATAGTTAAATTCTAGTACATTGTATCAATGATGTATGACACAGTTAGCATTTTATGATATTTCCACATAACAATATGGCAGTCATGAATGAAGTCGCGCCAAAACAATCCTACAAAAACAACAAAGGTTGTAGAGATATCAAAGCGAAGTAGACTTAGCATGAAAAAAGGTTAATCCTCTTTTGAGAAAACGGTAAGAGTAGGGATGTAATGCTCAAGTTGTTTTTTCACGGAACCCACATTGTATTAGATGCAGCTGCTTCGGTCAAGGCGCCTCATTGACGTGTCGAGACCAGAAGTAGATTAATAAACTTTAAAAGCTTGACACGGGTTTACTTTTTGAAAATAGCTATCAAAGCGTTAATGCTTTTATGCACTTATGACACCATAATCAAGTTACAAGAACGGGGGAGCCATAAAAATTCCTTGCAACCAGCTCTTTTTTAATCTCTTTCCCTACAGACCTAACACCCGAAAAACAATCCGACTTAACTTACCGCAGAAAATGACGGAGAATCAATCGGTCACCCAAACAATTTTAATCTCATATTGCGGTTCATCATTTTCTAGATCATCTCTTAAATTCCTTCTCAGGAGTTAAATTAATTCAGAAAGTTACGCTAGGCCGGTCTAATAGATTATTTGCATATAATAAAATACAAGTTAAATTTTAGTGTTTCTTATTTACTTCTGCATTTTTTAAGCTTTCTTAAGACTTGCAAACTATAAAGGCTTAATAACTTTTTTCAGTGAACAAACGTTCCACTAAAACGTCTACATCAAAAGTGGATGTGGACACAATTCATTCCACAGATGTTGTTGTCAAAAAAGAAAGTCTCCTGAAAACTTCTGTACAAGAAAAAAGTCCCCCAGAAAGTCTTCCAATGAAAGTACAGTTATTCCATGCCCTCAAACTTTCAACCAGAACCATTGGCAGGCGCAGATTCACACGGGTTCCACTGCTTTACGAAAACCGGTCAGATTTTTCATAAATAAATAAATGTTTAATAAACAATAATTTACGAGTAAAATCAGGCCAATATCCTGTTTGAATGACGCAGAAACCCAGGAAAGACGACTTTGGGAAGTTAAAATCGAAAAACTTTCTTAGAATCCCTCTGGACCCCCCTAGAAGCTTGCACCTCCGGCGCTATTAGTTTAAGAAATCGGTCAGTATGTATCCTAAATCCGCGCCTGATTAGAGTAGCTAACAGTTTCGAGGGAGACGAAAAAGCCACCTACAGCTTTCGAGACCACCAAAGTTCCCCAGATATACAGTTTTTATGGCAGCTCCAAATTAACCAGACAGGCATCTTAAGGATTGAGAAAACCATTTGAAACACTTGAGACGTATTTGGAAACTTTCGGTCGTTGGATGGCCCTGTCAAAACCCAAAAGAAATTGAAGGTACCAATCAAAATTATTCCGTCATTACCTTGGATAAAATCCATACAAGATAGGGGACCACCAGCTGTAACTGTAAGAGACGTTTAGATTCCAGGACGAGGACGACTTTGAGGAAGAAATTTGACTAGACGTTTTTTCGCGTATCCTCAAAAAATAAACATCCCGGAAAGCTTCAGTACACTGTCTTTTTATCCAAAAAATTAAGCACTGATATTTTTATGGAATGTGGTTAATTCCTCTCCCGTTCGCAAAATGATAAAACTTCTAACATTTGAGAACTTGTTCCCGTCACTACGACATTCTCGCTAAAACGGCCATCACGTTTTCCCCGCCAAAATGACACTCTCTCTCGCGCGAGCGCTACTTAATATTGACAAAGTCTAGTACTCGTGGTCGTCCTGGTCTTAGAGTCTTAAGGTCTCTGTTATCTCTCATTTAACTTTCATTTGTAATTGATCTAGTTTCTGTTTACTTTCCTTAAGTTTCTCTTCCAACAGCTTAGCCTTCCTTTGTTTTTCTTCCTTCGCCACTTGGAACTCGAGATATCTAATAATACTATGACGCTCCATAGAACGGGCGAATTCCAAAGCTGTTTTCCCTTCCCTGTTCTCCAAGTAAATATCTGCGCCCTTATCAACAAGCAAGCGAACCAAATTAAAATGGCCGTTCATGGAAGCTGCCATAAGCACAGTCTTGCCAGATTTGTCATACTTGTTTATGTTAGCACCTTTGGCTATAAGTACTTCCGCTACGTCGTCATTTCCGGAAAGGCACGCAACACGCATCAAGGGAGTCCAGCCGTTCACAGTATCTTCGATGTCGACTGGCCCGCCATCTCTAAGAACCCATAAAAGGAGATCATCGTGGCCCCCGTCTGCAGCCCAGTGTACAGCGGTCAGCCCACTTCTGTCACGTTTTTCCCAAGATGCACCGTGCTGTCGTAATAACCGTGCTGCTTCCTCTTGGCCAGCATAACAAGCTTTCATTAAACTTGTTTTACCTTCTAAGTTGGCATAATCAGGATCTGCATTAAATTCTAACAAGATCTCCATTACCTCTGAAAAGAAATATGAGGATGAACTGTGATTAGACCAGCTAAATATTTGATCTGAGATTCAGCTTGAAGATCACGGGGTTCTAACAACGGGAAACCGGAGAGAAATAAATGAAACAGGAAAATGAATTATAGATAAATAATCTGATATAAAACGGAAACTGATCCACTGCTAGCGA